CATATAAAATACATTAACTATAGGAATAGCTGATGAGCAGAAAAAGTTGGGCAGATCACAAGTTAACAATCACTGATATGATAATGTACCTATCTAAGTAATAAAACTTCATTTTTGTATATTATTTTTTATTATAACAGTAAAAGAAGGCAGCATAAAACTGGTGTAATATTTGACACTGTTGTTGATAAACAACAAAAAGGATAGATGATGAGCGTTCCCCCTGCGCGTCCAGCAGCGATCGCCACAGGTAATAGCTGGCTGTGCAGATAGCCATAGATAGGTGTGGCTGCCGGTGACCTGTCAGTATAGAGAATGTTGCCAGCAGCCGAATCTACCCATAGAGAGTTGTAGGAGGAACTGCCACTACAATTCGCACCAGCTCTAATTGCCGGTGTCAATGTAGCCTATGTACAGTATGTGCTGTTTGAGTAGGTGGGGGGGTTGTGAACATGGGGCTTAGGGGGAGCACTACTGAAATCTGTCAGGGCACAGCCCACCCCAGCTCCCCCCTAGATCCGGCCATGCTGCATTTACTTACCTGACATTCCCTGCTATTGCAAAAATGGCAGCCACTGCATCTCTTTAGACATTCCTTTGTTTGGCTTGTCAATGCAGGCTGCCATGGATTCCATGCTTCTTCCCCAATGTCAGCTGCCACGGCTGCCGTGCTTTCACCGCATCCTGGCATCCCTCTAGACATGCCTGGGCTCCATGCTAAACTCTCTGGGGCTGCATGCAGCCCGTGGGCCACGGGTTGGATACCCCTGTTATAGATTATACAAACTATGGTATTATATTTGGAAATTGATCAGTACTAATGTACTGACTACCTATCTCATTTCTTGAGGCCGTAAAATGCCAACACAGTACAAATACCCTCCAAACGACACCATTTTTGAAAGTAGACAATCTAAGATATTTAGTAAGATGCACAGTGAGTTTTATTAGAAAAAAAAATTGGGAGGTAATTTCCCCCCACTATTCTGACCTGGGAATCCTGTAGAAACCTGGAGAAACTAAAGGTTTAGTATTCTCTGCTATGAAACTACACTCTGGAGACCCTCTATTTCACATACAGTGGGGATCGAAAGTTTGGGCACCCAGCTAAAAATTTGTATTAATGTGCATAAAGAAGCCAAGGAAAGATGGAAAAATCTCCAAAAGGCATCAAATTACAGATTAGACATTCTTATAATATGTCAACAAAAGTTAGATTTTATTTCCATCATTTACACTTTCAAAATAACAGAAAACAAAAAAATGGCGTCTGCAAAAGTTTGGGCACCCTGCAGAATTTATAGCATGCACTGCCCCCTTTGCCAAGCTGAGACCTGCCAGTGTCATGGATTGTTCTCAATCATCGTCTGGGAAGACCAGGTGATGTCAATCTCAAAGGTTTTAAATGCCCAGACTCATCTGACCTTTCCCCAACAATCAGCACCATGGTTTCTTCTAAGCAGTTGTCTAGAAAACTGAAACTCAAAATAGTTGACGCTCACAAAGCTGGAGAAGGCTATAAGAAGATAGCAAAGCGTTTTCAGATGTCAATATCCTCTGTTTGGAATGTAATTAAGAAATGGCAGTCATCAGGAACAGTGGAAGTTAAAGCAAGATCTGGAAGACCAAGAAAAATATCAGACAGAACAGCTCGCAGGATTGGAGATTTTGGAGATTTTTTCCATCTTTCCTTGGCTTCTTTATGCACATTAATACAAATTTTTAGCTGGGGTGCCCAAACTTTCGATCCCCACTGTATGTGAGACCCCTGTGCGGTCTTCAGTCCCACTACTACAGATCAGATCAGTCCTGGCGGCAGGCAAAAAGCATGGTCAAATAACAGGCTGAGGCCAGGTCAAACGGAAGGCATGTGATGTGGACAATAAACAGGCGGCAGGGAGAGACATGGTCAATTAACAAGCCAGGGTCAATTCAGGCAGCAGGCAGGTAGCAGACACCATACCTTCGCTAATACCGTAGTGATGTATGGCAGATACAAAAGCAGTCTTATATACAGAGTCCAGGCGGGAAGGACATTGGGAACAATAGTATCAGGTGTCACATCTAATTCACATCTAATTCTGTTACTGGTGCATACACAACATTTTGAGTAGGAGGGATGACATTGGGGAAGTATCTTTCTTGCAGCCTTCTTGATGCTTTGTAAAAAGGTGTTCAGGGGTAGGGCCTTCTGGATAGATAAGTGCTGTTGCAATGCCATCTTGTTACATTAGCTAGGATCACTTACAGTAGATGACATAGGGGTTGTACTTGGGGCGGACTGACAACTCATGGGGCCCCTGGGCAATAGGAGATCATGGGTCCCCTGTGTCCTCGCCTACACCCAAAAAAAGCCTATGAAAAAGCCAATGAAAAGTACCAGAGGAATCTCATGGGGTCCCCTACTGACCCCAGGCCCTCGAGCAGTGCCCAAGTGCTTGAATAGTCAGTTTGCCCCTGGGTTGTACAGAACTAGTTGAAAAAGGTATATGGATACTTTTTTTGTACCAATGGATTGATCTTCTGGTAGCTAAGTAGGGCTGTAACATTTGTTCATTATAATCCAGACCTCCCATGAACTGGTTGTAGTCGTGTATGAACTGAAGGTTTTGGATAGGACCATGTCTTCTTCCATTCCACTGAGTTGTCATTGTGGATGGGGGAAAGGACATACACATCCTGTTTATCTCTCCATTTTAGGACCTAAATCTCTTTATTCTGCAAACTGGCTGACTTAAGCCTTTTCAGCTTTCTGCAACCAATCTCTGCAACCCTTGCAGTTTGGCTGCACTGTCCCACAGGCCAATTTACTGGGGATATATTGTTTTATGCCCAACCGGTAAAATTAATGAGGGACTCATCAGCACAAATATTTTTGACAGGAGTATACATTTCGGAAAACTCATTGGGAAAAAAAAACAAAGATGAGCAGCTAAAAAGTGTACAGCTTGCTGCAAGCAGGATAAGATAAGGAGATCCCAGGGATTTACTGTGCTATTGAAGTGTAAAAACCTCATGATCATTGCATAGCATGTTCTGGGAATAATTGAAGAATGAAGTGGCATGTAATGAATGGGGGTGTGTGGACCAATAGAAGTGGACTTCATTTTTTTTTTCAGTCCCATTTTAAGTGTAGGTCCAAGAAAAACGTTAAATTGTTCCACCATGAGAAGTGTCCATGGAAATGGATGGGCATCAGATGAATTTGATTGTTGACAATGTGTTGGATGGAATAAAGATTTCTCTGGTCCACAATTAAATTCAATAAATCATTGGTAAAAGAAAATGTAGAAAATTAATTTGTGTAACATTTTCTGTTACTCTCCAAGGTCCTGGCTATGCTGTAAATTAGGGAATTGTATTTGCTGCTGAATTAGAGGGAAGCCATACAGGATTTAAAACAACTTCTGGGCCACTAATTCTTTGCGGCTGATGTGACACCGTACTGCTTGTACTTGGTCTATCATCTGGGTGTACTGCACTGCTGATGCTCGCCACTTCACTTGGATGTACAACGCTGCTGGTGCTGCTCTTCAGATTGCCTGATTCTCTTTGTTGGGACCCCTTCCTCCTCTGAATCAGTTACTGACAGATTGCTCTCAACAAGTTCATAATTCTTATTCAGAATCTGAGTCTGACAATGGGAGTTCCCTGCTACTCTCATTTGTCATGCTCACAGTCTGGAATGCCTCCTCACTGGTCTACAATTTTTTTGGACATGGCATTCAGATGTTGATGCTGCACTGCTGGCACTTTGACATATGTTTATGGTGCATTGGAGACACTATGATAGATGTTGATGTGCAAAGAGGACACTGATAAATGTTGATAGTGCGCTGGGGACACTGTGACAGATGTTGATATGCACTAGGAACACTATGACAGATATTGATGTGCACAGGGACACTCATAGAGTCAAAGGATAAGTTCACTTTTCAGTGCATGTTACACGTTAAACCCATCATTCAGGTGTACAATCTAGGCCTTAGCACAATATCTCGTGAAACAAAGGATGCTAAGCTGAGAAGAAAGTAATTGAACTTAGCAATGTCATTTGCAACTTAAATGATTTGAGTATGGAGCTCTCTCAACTGATCTGTGGCCTTGGTCAGGTAGCCCCCGTGTTCTCTTCATTCCTCCGTCAAAGATCACCCCAGATGACAGCACTCATCAGTCTTGTCAGTCTGGCTTGTCAGTGGTGTCGGCGGTCAACAATTTCCAGGTTTCTGTATTTATTTGCCTCCACCCATCAGGCAGGTCCTCTGGGAAATGTAGTTTGTTAGCTCGTTATTAAACAGTGAAGTCCTTCTATCAGCCTACAAGTCCAACAAAGCTTTTCTTCAACAGAGTCTGTATAACTGAGCTGCAGGCCACTGTGCTCTTGTGTTCATTTAACATCCTGCAACCAGTATTAATGCAGAGTGGTACATAGGATTGTCACCTCATCCCTTTAAAAGCGAACATATAATAACTACACAGGTTCTGAGGCTAATTTAATGCCGATAAGGCTCTAAGTGAGTTTAATTAACACTTCAATCAGCCTCAGAACCTGTGTATTTAATATGTGTTCAGTTTTAAAGGGATATGGTGGCAACCCAATATTCCCATGCTGTGTGGTAGAAGTGTCTTATTAATTTACAGCTGTGTGTAAAAAAATAAATGTTAATTTTATGATATTATTTTCCAAAGGTTGTGGTAGAAAAAATGTAATCTTTGAAAGACTCACTATGGCTGTGACCCAGATTTGGCTTAAAGCGGGTTAAAGCTCACTGTCAGCTATCATCACAGAGCTGCTCCAGGCTCTGAAAGGATCTCGAGACACTTGTAAGGAGCCGAATAGCTAATTCTACCTCTCAGTGTGGTGTGGCTGAGAGCTGAAGCCATCTGTGTTGTCCCCTTTCCAGGTTAGAGTTCCAGTGAGTGCTAGAGGAGCAAAACTGAGTGACCAATGGTCATGTGATCACTCAAATCACAGTGGTCATGTGATCGCTGTAGTATAGGGATGAACAGGGGCGGACTGACAACTCATGGGGCCCCTGGGCAATAGGGGATTATGGGCCCCTGTGTCCTTGCCCACACTCAAAAAAAGCCTATGGAAAGGTACCAGGGGCATCTCATGGGGCCCCCTACTGACCCCGGGCCCTCGGGCAGTGCCAGAGTTCCCAAATGGTCAGTCCGCCCCTGGGGATGAGTATATGTGTTTGTTTTTTTTTATCACCACCCCAAATTTCTCCTTTAAAGTGGTTGTAAAGGTTCAAGGTTTTTTACCATCATGCATTCTGTGTGCAGCAGCCCCCCACTACTTGCCTGGGCCTTATTGCGATCCAGCAATGTGCATGACAGCCTATCCCAGGACTCTCCTCTCTAATTCTCCACAGACCCCTCTCAGGCTACACAGCTGAACTCCAATCAACCATCTTCACATGACCCTCTCCTGCTAGCTAGGCTCTCTCATAATTATGGGCCAGGCCCTCTGCCTGGGATTTGTCAGACTCCCATAAATATGCAGATCAGCTCCTCTTCACCTCCGCCTACTGACTTCTAGAAGCTTCCCAAAAATTCTAGAGCAGGGGGAGGAAACAGAAGACTGACCTCTCGAGCTCTCCAGTCTGACCTGAAATAAACTCTAGCAATCCCCTAAATAACTTAACAAGCTATCTAAGGTAGAGGGCTCTACTGGGAAAATCCCAATTTTTGGCTGTCCCAAAAAAGTAATAGGGGAAAATCTTCCAATGGGGACACTAGTTCTGGTGAGCTGGGAGTCCCCAAGGAATTCCCTTAATTTGCAGGGATTTTACTCTCACTCCCTGTTTGGCTATGGGACAGGAAGTGAAGGGAAATCTCTGCAACTGGACAGAGGTTATAACCCTCCATTGCTCTATCCAAAATGAAAATAAAAATGTTGTCTATAGTTCTACTTTAAGCTTTCCAACTCATCCTCCCACTGTATACTACCTGTATGTACAATATTTAGAGCACCATTTACCAGGCTTCATGTTTAAATCACCTCAATACCAGCATGTGTCTTTATTTTCCAAAAATTGTGGCAAAAAAAATTAGATAATCTTGGGGTGTCTACTTTTTCAAAAAGGGGTACTTTCATGGGATTTCTCACTGCCCTGTCAGTTGGTGTTTATTTCCCCAGGCTCATTCTCAGTGACCCTAAATTTCACGACCAACAATTTTGCAATCAACTAGAAGGGCAAGTGAACCAAGAAATTATGGGTGTGGCCATGCTTTACTTTAGGGAGGAGATGTGGGCACTCTGGAAAGAAAGCTTCAGTTAAGAGGACCCATTTTTGGATCCAAGTAACCCAACCTCAGTAATTTGTACGATGTCCGGGCTGAGACACCCATCAGGATGATGGCTGTTCAGCTGTCTCCTTTCTTTTTCTCTTCACCTTGTACAAAAGCTGCAAAAGTTGAACACCTGCTTTTTGTGTTATTGTGGGGGATCCTGTACAGGGGTTAACTGGCCATTTTTTCCCCTGACCAACCGCTTTGTCCTCCAACTCTATCTCCATCCCATAGACTGAAACATTATCCTCCCTAGAACCACCACCTACAACAGCAATGCCAGGCTACCTACTTGTTTGTTAATATAGCATCCCAACACCCTTGCATCCCCTCCCAATCCCCTCCCTCCTCCTATCCTACTTCCTTCGAACTCTGTTCCCAGTATTTCTGGGTTTACAATATACTTAAAACAATTTGAATAAAAACAAATTATATTTGGCTAACAATCTTTGTGTCACATATTGGTTTACTTCAACCAAAGTATTTTTTCCAAATGTGATTACCACTGGTTACATTATACAGCAATATGGGTAAAACAACAAAAAAAAAACAGTACACACAACATGAAGCTTAGTAGACAAGGGTATAAAAAGTAGACAAAAGTACATTTGTTTTCAATATTGGTCATCTGCCACTGTATGTAGTAGGAAATCAGGCACTGTGGTTTCAGGAAATGATTTATCAACCGGAATTTTCATATAGTCCTCCAGCAGTCTTCTCCATGTGGTCAACTCTAGAGTTTGCTGTAGTCCCGTTGGCTCCTGCATTGATAAAGATGAACTTGTAATTGCTGTCACCTATGGCCATTATTACAGAGAAATATTTCTTGTAATTAAAGGACCCTGAGCTGTACACTCACCGGACACTTTATTAGGTACACCTGTTCAATTGCTTGGTAACACAAATTGGTAATCAGCCAATCACATGGAAGCAACTCAATGCATTTAGGCATCTAAACATGATGATGCCAATTTGCTGAAATGTAAACTGAGCATCAGAATGGGGAAGAAAGGGAATTTAAATGATTTTGAACTTGGCACAGTTGATGGTGCCAGACAGGATGGTCTGGGTATTTCAAAAACTGCTGATCTACTGGGATTTTCACGCACAACCATCTCTAAGGTGTGGTCCGAAAAAAAAAAATATCCGGTGAGTGGCAGTTGTGTAGAGGAAAATGCCTTGATGATGTCAGAGGTCAGAGGAAAATGGGCAGACTGGTTGCTGTGACATTCAGATGGTAGTGTCAGAATTTGGTGTAAATAACATAAATGCATGGATCCATCCTGCCTTGTATCAACGGTTCAAGCTGGTGGTTGTGGTGTGATGGTGTGGGGGAGATTTTCTTGGAACTATCAAGGTGTACCTAATAAAGTGACGGTGAGTGTATATGTTTAATTTATGTAGCTTGTATTTCTATAGCTTTTTTTCTCCCTGGGAAATCAAGGTGCTTCATAGGTAAGGAAGTCATCATGGCCACACTTAACTGAGGAAACCAGAGTACCTGGAGGTAACCCACACAAGCACATGGAGATCCATGCAGTTAATGCCCTGGTCTAGATTTGAAATGAGGACCAATTCAGAAGTGCTATCCACTAAGACAACATGCTGCCCTGTTTAGTGTCAAAGGCTCTCATAAAATTTGGAAAGTTGGTCTTTATCCAAAACCCTCCTGAGCTTTCTTTAAATATGTGCACTTCTGGAACTGGCATTGTGGATGCATACAGCTCCTCCCATGTACTGTAGCTTTGCTTTTGTCAAGCACTATCCCAGAAATTGTGGTGATTCCATTTAGGAAATAGCGGTTTAGAGGTGTATGTCTGTCTAGTTACAAGAAATCTTAGTTATAAAACTTCACGGGATACCATCTGAAATCTGCATTGTGCAGAGCAAAGAATCCCTCAAATGCCCTCTTCAGCAGCATTGGAGGTGTCCAATACCTGGAATATCTCCTCTCCTGTATACTATTCCTCCTCTTTTTCTCCTATAACAAAGTATGATATGCCAGGAGAAAATGTGGATAAATCCATGAGATCAGATGCAAAAAACAGCAGTAGGAACAAGTTGTAAAAAACCCCCCCATATCATTCACTGCTATTGCAAAGTAGCATTTAAATCACATTTCACACTATGGGGGAGCATTAAATTGTGGGAATGTAATCAAATAAAAAAAATGGATGTAAACTGAACTGAACTTTAGAAGTATATTCAAAGTGATGTAAACTGATATAAACTGATTCAGCCTTCATCAATTTTTCATACAACTGAACTGAACTGAACTGAACAGATGACATCCATTTGAAAGGACCCTTAGACCCTGGGCTTAGCCATGGAAAAAAGCAGGGATCTACCTTACGAGGAGGAACCCCTGAAAGTAGTATTAAACCCAAAACCAAAAATGTATCTATTGCAGCTTACCAACCGGTTAATTTCAGCTCAGTTTACATGCCGAGGGATGCTGCAAATAGGCAGGAAAGTGTATTTTATTACAGAAGAGACATTACATGAGACTCCTGCAAAAAAAAAGAAAAAAAAACCTGCCTGCTCGCTTGTGTACAACTTTAATTCCGTTTTAAACGTTTATTATTACTCTTTGCAATGTGCAAAAAAAAAAAAAAATCAAAAACCTTAAAACTGAGATAAGGAAAGGATCTATAAGAGACATGTGCATTCTTCCTTTTGCAGCACTGCCCCCTTAGCCGTTGCTGAAGACTTCCCCCTATAGTCCTGCACAGCCAGGCAATACACATTCACAGACTTGCATTCTGGAAACAGTAAACAGTCCTTGAGCTTGTTTTATTAAAGGTATTGAAATTGGATGGAGTAAGAGATGTATGGGTTGCCCAAGGGAACTGCAACTGAGGACAACATACACAAGTCTTTACACAGCAAAATCTTCTTCTTCTTGGAGAGCTCACCAGCCTCTCCTGGTGTACCACCCCAGACTCCAGAAAAATCGTCTTCTAACAAGCTGTCTGAAGGAATCCCTGGGCAAGGGGATCCAGTGCCTGCCACTTTAACATGAAACAGTCCCTGGTAAGGAGCTAATCAGGCTTCCCACCAGAGTGCTCTTTTTCCCTTAACGGGCCCAGGGGGTATAGAATTGCTCACTCAGTCTCTTTCCTGTGAACTGGTGTGGGTAGGTGGCTGCCTTCAGGCCTCCTGCTGGGCTGGCTCCTTTCCTGACTCCACAGGTGGTCCTAAGGTGAGCAGTCCCAGGTAAGGAGCTAATCAGGTTTCTCACCAGAGTGCTTTTTTTCCCCTTAACTGGCCCAGGGGGTATAGGATTACTCACAGTCCTTTTCCTGTGAGCTGGTGGGTTAATAGCTGCTTTCAGGCATACAGCTGGTCCACTCCTTCCCTGCTGCACAGGTGGTCCTCGCTCTGGGGGCCAATGAGGTCTGAGCAATCTCCTTTCCAGCAACACTGCCTGGAGATAGGCCCTCTCCCAACTAGGCCCCTTTCCAGGCTCCTGAACCCCAGCCTTCCTACTCCATCTTCCACCCAAACTCTCCTGCTACTGAGCACTTTAAGATGAACAGTCCCAGGTAAAGAACTAATCAAGTTTCTCACCAGAGTGCTCTTTTCCCCTTAACTGGCCAAGGGGGTATAGGATAGGATTACTCACAGTCTTTTTCCTGTGAGCTGGTGGATTGGTAGCTGCTTTCAGGCATTCCACTGTGCCACTCCTTCCCTGCTGCACAGGTGGTCCTCGCTCTGGGGGCCGATGAGGTCTGAGCGATCCTTCTTTGCAGCAACACTGCCTGGAGATAGGCCCTCCCCAACAAGGCCCCCTTCCAGGCTCCTGAACCCCAGTCTTCCTACTCCATTTTCCACCTGAACTCTCCTGCTACTGAGCACTTTAAGGTGAACAGTCCCAGGACAATAGC